GCAAGATCCAACAATTTTGTGTACAAGTAACACATTTCACTCAAAAAGAAATTCATAGACTGAAAGTGAAAGGATGTAAGACAATACTTTATGCAACAGGAACCTGAAAAAACACAGGAGTAACTATTCTATTTGCAGACAGTGTGAACATCAAGTCAAGACTGATCAAAAGAGATACAGAAGGTCACTATATTCTTAAGGGAAAACTCCAAGAGGAATAGATAATACTCATAAATATATATGCACCAAATACAGGAGCACCTAGCTATATAAAACAAATATTAATGGACATGAAAATCAACCAAGAACTACCACAATTGTAACGGAGGACCTTAACATTCCACTGTGACAAATAGATCAACTAGACAATAAAAATCAACAAAGCAATATCAGAACTGAAACAGACTTGTGAAAACATGAACTTAGTAGATGTCTATAGAATGTTCCACTCCACAACATCAGAATGCAAATTCTTCTCAGTTGTGGGACAACTGAGGACATTCTCAAAAATAGATCACATACTAGCCCACAGAACATGCTTAAGTTTTTGCAAAGGATTTGAAATTATCTCACGCATATTATCTGAACACAGTGTAATGAAATTGAAAACTGGAACTCAATGACAAACGGAACCACAAAATTATAAATACATGGAAATTGAAAAACGCCCTACTGGAAGGGTCATAGATGAAATAAAGGAAGAAATTACACAGTATCTACAACTAAATGATAATCCTGATACAATAAACTGTAACTTACGGGATACAATGAAACAATCCTAAGAGTGAAATTTATAGTGGTGGATTCTCATATTAGGAAACCAGAATGAGCTCAAACAAACAAGCTAATATTAAATCTTAAACTTCTAAAAAAGAAGATCAAGTCAAGCCTAAAGCTTGTAAGAAGGAAGAAATTATAAGGATCACAGTAGAAGTTACTGCAATTGAAACTAAGAAAACAATACAATGAATCAATGAACTGAAGAGTTCATTTCTTGAAAGATTAAATAAACCAGACAAACCTTTAACCAACCTTAGCAAAAAAGGAAAATAAAAGTCAAATTCATACAATTAGGAATGAAAAGGATGAAATCACAAGAGATACTGCAGAAATCCAGACAATCAACCACGCCTGTAATCCCAGCATTCAGGAGATTGAGGCAGGAAGATTGCTGTGAGCTGGAGGCCAGCCTGGGATACAAGGCCAGGTTGAATGGTTGTGAAACCCAGTCTTAGGGAAAAAAAATCCAGAGGATCATCAAATCCAATCTCTACTTTGAGAATGTTTATTCTCATAATATGGAAAACAAAGAAGAAATTGACAGATTCCTAGATACATATGAACTACATACCACTGATATCAAGAAGACATAAAAATTTTAAGTAAACCAATATCAGTCAATGACATTGAAAATGTAATAAAAACCCACCAATGAAGAAAACTCCAGGTCCTAATGGATTAACTGCTGAATTCTACAAGAAATTTAGAGATCTAATACTATTATTCTCAAACTCTTTAATGAAATTGAAAGGGAATCACTATTCCCAAAGTCATTCCTTGAAGCAAGTATTACCCTGATACAAAAACCAGAGAAAGACCCAAGCAAAAAACAGAACTACAGGCCAGTCTCCCTAATGAATATGGATGCAAAACTCCTCAATAAGATACTGACAAACAGAATGCAGCAATTTCTCAAAAATATTATACACCATGGTTATATAGGATTCATCTCAGGGATGCATAGATGACTCAATATATGCAAATCAATGAGTGTAATACACCATATCAACAAAGACAAAGACAAAAATCACATGATCATCTCATATATGTGGATAAAGGTTCTGACAAAGTCCAACATCCATTCATGGTAAAAACTGTACAGAAAATTGGAAGAGATGATCTTTATCTCAATCTGATAAAGCCATCTATAACAAAACAATAGCTAACATCATACTAAATGGTCAAAAACTAAAACCTTTTACTCTAAAATCAGGAACAAGACAAGGATGTCCACTATCACCACTAATATTCAATACAGTTCTGGAAACATTAGCCAGACCAATTGGACAAGAGAAAGAAATAAAAGGAATAAACATAGGAAATAAAGAAATTAAAGTATCATTATTTATGGAATTATCTTCTACACAGAAGATCCCAAAAACTCTACCAGAAGACTTCTAGATTTAATAACCAGATTCAGTAGCATAGCTGAGCACAAAGTCAGCACCACAGTATTGTTGTGTACAAAAAACCTCACTAACAAGAGAAATTAGGGAAATAACACCTTTTACAATAGCACAAAAATATGGAATACTTAGGAATCAATCTAACAAAGGAAGTACAACATCTCTACATTAAAAACTACAGTACTCTGGAAAAGGAGATCAAAAGGATATCAGAAAATGGAAAGATATCCCTTGCTCTTGGGCAGGAAGACCCAAACATAGTAAAAATGGCCATACTCCCACAATTTCTATACAAATTAATTCAATTCCAATCAAAATACCATTAACATATATCTCAAAACTAGAGAAAACAGTCCTAAAATTCACTTGGAGTCAGTAGAAACCTAGAATAGCAAAAACAATTCTGGGCAACAAAGGCAGGGCAGGCAGCATCACAAACCCTGACTTGAAATTTTACTACAGAGCTATTGTAAATTCAGCATGGTAGTCTCAAAAACACAGACCTGAGGATCAGTGGAACAAACCAGAAGACACATAATAACTCCAGACATACTTAGTCACTTTATATTTGACAAATGGGCGAAACTCATTCCCTGGAAGAAAGATAGCCTCTTTAATAAATGGTGCTGGAAAAACTGGCTTTCTACATGCTGACTCATGTTTATTGTCATGCAGTAAATGAAAATCAAAATGGATCAAAGATTTAAATACTGAAACAGAAATGTTAAATCTGTTGGAAGATAGAACAGAGAGTCATATGTGTAGGCAAAGACTTTATGAACAAACCCTGATCACACAGGATTTATCAAAAAGAATCAACAAGTGGGATCTCATCTTATTAAAAAGCTTTTGCATAGCAATGCAGAGACAACCCATAGAGTGGGAAAAAATTTTAGCCAGCTACTCCTCAGACAAAGGATTAATATCTAGAATACGTAGAGCAATGAAAAAAACTCGAAGACCCAGTCCAAAAATGGTAATTGCACACTTCTCAGAAGAAGTAGTACAAACTGCAAATAAATGTATGAAAAAATATTCAACATCACTGGTCATTCAATAAATACACATAAAAACAACACTGACATTGCATCTCATTCCAGATAGAATGGCTATTATAAAGAAATCAACCCTTAACAAATGCTGACAAGGCTGTAGGGAAAAAGGAACCCTTCTTCATTGCTGTGGGAGTATAAAAGGGCACAACCACTATGGAAATCAGTATGGAGACTCCTCAAAAATCTAAAACTAGAGGTTTGATTTGACGTAGCTGTTCTCCTGTTAGGTATCTTCCTGAGTTAAAAGAATCATCAAATAGTGATATATGCACATTTATGTCTGTAGTAGCAAATATAGCTAAATCTTAGAAATAGCTCATATGCCTATCAACAGATGAATGAATAAATAATGAGTTTCTATATATGATGTAGTAAAGTGCCATAAAGAATGATACATTTGAGTCAATTTTAGGGAAATGGATGTACCTCGAGCGCAAAATTTTAAGTGAAATAGATCAGAATATATAAAGAACTGATTTAAGTGTTACACAAGTTTAAATATTGCATTGCTTCTCTTATGTGAGATAGTCAAATGGTGAATAAGAAGCAAATTAGAGGATATATACTTGGAAGTAAGAAGAACATGTTCAAATGGGAAGGGGAAAAGGGCTGAGGATTTAGCTTAGTGGCTCAAGTGCTTGCCTGGTAAGCACAAGGTTCTAAGTTTAATCCCTGGTACCAAACAAAAAAAAGAGAAGGGGAATGTCATGGTTTATGTCTGTGGCCCCCAGGCCTCACGAGTTTGAATTGTGCATTTGTTATTCGTTCATTGTCTAGTGCTTGGATTGATGGTGTCAGTGCTCCACCCACAAAGGAGTGGAGCCAGGATGTGATGTAATGGCAGGAAGAAGGTGTGTCTTGCTCTTTGCTGGTTCCTGCTTGCTGTTTTGTGGCCGCCATGAACTGCGGCCCAGCTATGCCCGCCTACCTTGGAGCCAACCTAGTGTGGACTGAAACCTCCAAAAACTGTAAGAAATAAACCTTTCCTTTCCCAACTTGGGCTTCAGGTATTTTGTCTCAGCAAGGAGTAAAAGTAACTAAGACAGGGAAGAAATGAGGGGATAATAAGAAGGGAAGGAAGGAAAGGAAAAGGGATTAAAATAAGGAGAATGTAATTAAAAAACTACAAACAATCCTTTGTAAGTGGAAGGGAAAGAAGACTGAATAATGGGGAGGGAAATGGGAAAAGAAGAATTACGATGTATTATGTATAGGTGAAAATTCCCTATGATGAATGTGATCATTATGCATGGCAAATATGTACAAACAAAGATAAAATAGTGGGTGTGGTTTAAGTAATATAGAATTAAAATGTGATAGAAGGAAAGAATATCCAAGAAAGTAAGGAACATAGTGGAGAAGCCTACCATAGGATGCAGAGTTTTAGAGGAATTGGGGCAATTCAGGAAAGCCTAGGAAAGAAGATAGTTTGTATGAGTAATGAAAACAAAGGGAGAGAACAATGGTAACTAAGAAGACAAAGCTATCTATCCTCAAGCAGTTTCTAAATTTAGAACCTTTAAGAAGAGTAATAGTGGTACCATTCTAAAAGCATTGGCTGAAAAAGGGGTGGAGGAAAGGGAAGGGGAGATAAAAATAATAAAGATGTGTTATGTTCATGCACCAACTCTCCACAATGAATATAATCATTATGTACTATAAATATGTAGTAATGAAAATAAATTTTTTTAAAAAAGCATTGGCATTTCTTGGGGAAGAAATGACTTCTGCATTTCTCTTCAGGTTGATTCATACTCACCTGAACAACTATGATGTGGGGTTTCCTTCTCCCACGTCCAAGGTTCTTCTCCATGTTCTAACTTGAAGATGACCTCTGGTTTGGGAACTTCAAACCCTGTTAGCAGACAATGATAGAGAATTGGATCCAGATAATTGTTGTCCTTATGTTCTTCAGAAAACCACATTTCATTGGGAATAGAATAATAATAACAGAGGTAAAAAAGACTGAAGAATATTAGATACATCAAGGATGACATCATCATACACTTCAGATGTCTCAACAGCTGAGAAATAAAATACCTCACAGAGGCTCCATCTCAGTCTAGGGCTGCTGTAACAAAGTATCAACAATGGTGTTTAATGTAACAGAAATTTTTGTCTCATGTCTATAGAGGCTAGAGTCTGAAATTAACTTGCTAGTTAGGGTCATGCTTTTGCTGATGGATCTAGGAGAAAGCTCTTGCTTGCATCTTCTCCTTCCAATATTCTCTGGAAAACCTTAGCGTTCCTTAATTTTAAGTACACTACTCCAGTGACATGGCTGTCTTCTCACTTTCTTCCCTCTATATATGCTTGTAGAAGAATGACCCTGGACTCTGCCTTCATCTTCACATGGCTTTCTCCCTGCTTGCACATCTCTGTGCTCAAATTTCTCCTTAAGGACACCAGTCATATTAGATTAGGGTCGACACTAATGGCTTTAATTTGCCAATCACTGTAAAGACTATTTTCAATGAAGGTAACTCTCTGAGTGTTGGGATTTATGACTTCCACATAATATTTTGAGAGGTGATAATGTAAACCTGAAGAGCCCCCCAAAATTCACGTCCTTGTCATGTGCAAAATAGTCACCCCATCCCCACATTCTCAGAAGTCTTAATCATTCCAGCATTAACTCTTAAATTAAAAATTTCATCTTGATCTCATTAACTCTAAATCTCATAAACTGAACCATCCAAATCACTTATGGGTCAGCTTTGGGATATGATTTATCCTGTGATAAAGTTCCTGTCCGTATTTGAATTCACAAAGCCAACTTCCAAATGAATGGTGACACAGGATATAGGATATATGTTAGCATTCAAAAATGGAAAAAAAAATTGGAATGGAAAAAGGGATCATGGGTTCAAGTAAGTTCAAAACAGTGAAGCAAATTCCATTATAGGTTGTTAGGCTTATAAATAATACTCATTGGCTTCATGGTCTATCCTCTAAGCCAACTGGAGTGGCAGTCCTTCCTCTCAGCTGTAGGCCAGGAATCACATCCCTTATTGTTACTCCTAGTAATAAAGTAGGAAAAGTTTTTCTCCTGTGCCTGTGACTATATGCTCTACTGTTTGATATGTCTTAATCTCCAAGGAAGAAATGCTTCCACCAAGAGATACAATAAATCTATAAACAGGAAGTTAAGGCTGTCACCTGGCCACTTGAAATCAATAGGTAAAAGAAAAGTGTTATGGTTATGACTCAGTTGACTGATTCCAAATAACATGGAGATTTGGATAGCCACTGTGGAGGCTGTGGAGGTAAGGAAGAGCATGTCTGGAATACAGGAGATCTCTTAGTGAATTTATACCCAGTGATTAAAGTCAATGAAAAACTATAGCTCAAAGTAGCACTGCTAATAGGGCAGACCTTTGGGATGACAAATCTCTCCTTCACCAAATTTTAGTCAGACTATTCTGAATTAACTTCTTAAGTAGGCCCTGACTTTTGTACTTTCATGTCTATCTTTTCATTATCTGATTTTAACAAGAATCCTGTTAAGTCAGTTTAGCCAGAATCTCCCAACCTTAATATCTAATCATCCTTGATATCTAATCAAATCTCCCAGGTGATCCTTGAACACTGTATCCTGTCCTCAGTAAAGATCCTGTTAGGTTGCTTTAGCCAGAATACTTTCTCACCTTAGATGTTTCATGTTAGTAATTTTCTATCCATTGGTCCCACTCCTTCCTCCTGAGCTATAAATCTCCATTTCTTACTACTGTATTTGGAGCCAAGCCCAGTTCAATATTGAGGTTCTTTTTCTTTACTGTAACAGTTCTGAAAGATTTTGTGTTCAGCTTTAACTACTTTCTAGTTCTTGTTTTCTCTAACATGGGAATGAAGGTTTGGATTCTTGAGGGCAAAGGATTAGATATAAGACAGTAGCAGAAGAAATTCTGCCTCAAGACTGCACTATAGAAACGTTGCCTCAGTTTTTAATCTACTGGCCTGCCTTGTAGATGTTGGAATTAGGTCTACAATATCATTTCTTACCTAAATCTACAGCCTTCAGTCCTGTTTTATGAATTTTAAACTTGCCAGTCCCTTCCCTCACAGAGCTACTCGTTCCATTTCTCTGGAGAAAGCTTTTACACATTTTGGTACTGTCTTAACTGCTTATCTCAGTTAAGCAGTATTGAACAGTTAAGCAGTATCTTGAGATAAAATACTCAACACCCAAAATTAAAGGAGAAAAGGTTTATTTGGCTCACAGTTTGTAGAGGTTTCAGCTCATATTTGACTGGCTCCAAGACAGAGTGGCATGCATCACACAGGAGAAACAACTCATGGCAGGCAGCAAGGCAGCAAGCAACAAGTAACAACCCTCTTTCTGTACCTTTTATTTTATCCAGACTACCCAGCATTAGGGCAAGCAGCATTCACACTTAGAATGTGGCAGCCTTAATCCTAGCATTGCACTATGAATCAATCCCAGGATCATATCCTTGATCCAGCATCACACATCCTAGATCCAGCCACTTCCAAGAAGCCCCACCTATGATCACAAGAGGCTTTGGGAGGACATCTAGACACAAACCATAACAGGTACTCAGTATTTCTAGAGGAACAGAATCTTCAGGATGGGTTTTTCTGAATTAGTTCTGGGATTTCTGAAATTAGTCCTCCAATCTGACTAGATTTAAAGGCAATAATAACTATTTCTAGTAGTCAAAACAAACACAATTCATGGCATGATGTGGTGACACAGATAAGCAAAATATCAACATTGAATACTCCTAATCAAATACTTCTAAGGAGCCCAAAACAATAATGATATAAGCTTTCAAAACACGGTGGTAGGAAGAACTAGGGCTGATATTTTACATAGTGATCTTCAAGAGTTCCTCAGGTCACCTGACATGAACATGCAAAATAGTTCCAATCCTACGAATATTAACTGCTTTGTTCTACGAAATTATAGAATTTGTACAATCATCTTAGCTATCCTGTGTGTTTGTATAAATTTGAATATGTTTTTCTTTTCCCCTCCTTTTTCTTTTTCCTCCTTTTCCCTGAGATATTATTTTCCACTTTGAACAGATTCTTACCCTTTCACTGTATTTCCTGAGCATTTTGTTTCTTATGTACTCTCACCATTTCTTACCCTAGGGAGATTATATATATGGTATTTACTCATGTGAGTTTGATTTATTTCATTTATGAATATGGTCCCACGTTGCATCCACTTACTTGTAAATATCTCAATGTGATCATTCTTTATAGCTGAGTAGTACTCCACTGTATAAAAATACCACATCTTTTTTCATCCACTCCTCAGTTGATGGGCTTTTAGGTTGTTTCCAAGATCTGGCTATTAAAAATTGTGTTGCTATAAACATGGCTGCACATATATCACTGTGATACGATGCTTTCAATTCTTCGGGGAATTTATTTGTCTTTTTGTATCTTATTTTTCTAGTACTCTTGTTTGTTTTGTTTTTCCCTCTAACGCAGAAAGGATAGGTATACATGTAGAGGCTTATACATGCCTAGAACATCTCCTAAACAGTTTATGCGAATCTATTATGTGTGACAAAATGAACAGCTACTTTGAAGAAAAACAGACATTATGGTATCCACTGCTCAATCCATATCATCACGCTATGAAATCCAGTAATGTTTCTATTCTTTGTTCAGAGTGGTTTTAGTCTGTTTTGCATTGTTTAATTTCAACATACATGAAGGTATAGACAGCTATTTTGAAGAGAACAAAAGAAAGTATGGCAGCCATTGTTAATTTCCCTATTGTCTGGTTTTGAAGGCCTGTAATGCCTATATTACTCTGTACTGATCAGTTTTGTACTATTTTGTTTTGTATGAATTCATTATGTGTGAAGATATAGCCACCATTTAGAAGAAAACAAGAGACATTATGGTAGCAACTGTAGATCACCTGTTGTCTTGCTTTGAAATCTGTGTTACTTACATTGTTTTCTTCTCATCTGCTTTGTTCTATTTTGTTCTGTTTAGTTTTACCCTTTTCAAAAAAGGGACAATATTCTGGGCAATGATGGATTTGATATTATACATTTCTGCACAATAAAATAGTCCTGTTACTACAAATTACACCAGATAAAGTGAGGAAGAAAAGGATGTGCTCACAGATTCAATTTCCCATCTCATGTTCCAAATAAATGACATGAAAATGTTTACAGATTCCATGCAATAAATCCTTAGTTAATTCCCAGAGTTACATAGCTGAGATGGATGAAAACTAAATGCAGTCTTATTCTGCAAGTGGTTAAATTACAAAACAAGTTGAATTTCCAACCTCACAGGATTCCTGCTGTTAAAGTAGAGGCATTTATTGGGAAGGTATAAGATCTTGACCATTGAAATGAAAAACTGAACCTTTTAATTCTTTATTGGGGTACAGAGGGGAGGTAGCAGGCATCAAACACATAACTTCACGCTTGCCAGACAGGCACTTACACCACTGAGCTAAATCACCAGCCCCTGAATCTTTTAATTCTTATTAATCTCCTTTACCAAAAGAAGCCACTCTTCCACCCCTGTGTTAGTCAACTTGTTACTGCCCATAATAGAACAGCACAGACTGGATAATTTATATGCAACAGGTATTTCTTTGGCTTGCAATTCTGGAGCTTGAAAAGTCCATGAGCATGGCCCAAGCATCTGGTGAGGGCCTTCACAGTGCATCCTAACAGGGTGAAAGAGCAAGTGAACCTGTGTAAGACACAAAATGAGATGGTAAGAGAGGCCAAATTCATAACAAACCCACTGACGTGATAACTAACCCACTCTCATAAGGACATCAGTCCAATCATGAGGGCAAAAACCTTGTGACCTGACCACCTCTTAAAGGTCCCTTTTAGTATCACAACA